ATCTGATATGTTAAAAAGTTGTGGTAGGGAGGTAGTTTTAATTTTAGGTTTTAGAAGTTATTTTACTAAACCATTCACTTTATAGCTAGTTTTCAATGGATGTGAATATCTTTACTAGAAGGTAGATACAAGATATTATAATGCTTGTTTTGTTTCTACCATGTCAAAATTGAATAATATATTCAATTGAATATAATATTCTAGCAGGACCAGCTACATAATTTTTGAGCCCAGTGCAAAATAAAATTTGTGAGCCTCCTGTTCAAAAAATTAAGAATTTCAAGACCGCTCCAATCAGAGCATTAAACCAAGCCTGGGGCCTTTCTCAGTGCAGGGCTCTATCTGACTGCACGGGTCACACGCCCGTGAAGCCAGCCCTGCATCGAAGTCTATTTCCGCCGCAGTTATCTTTGTCCCTGGGGCCCCTAGTACTGAACTAGGCAGACAGTAGGGATTCAGATGTCTGCTGAATGAAAAACTGAATCTTGCAGTTTTCCAAATCAATGAGAAATGCTTAGTTTTTCTGATATGGTCAGAAACAATCTTACTTTGATGAATACAGTCTGTTCATTATAATAATAAATGATGGATTCCTCTAGTACTGAATAATTTGCATATCACATTCTAGCTTCCTGGGAACTCAAGGCCACATAACGTGAAGTTCATTTAATTCATTCAACAAATATTTACTGAATGACTCCTCTGTCCCATCCTGACCGGGCACTGGGAATACGAGAATCAGTAAGACATTCCCTGCCCTCATGGAGCATGGAGTCTAGCCTAAGAACTTACAACACCTAGAACCTAAGAACTTACAACACCTAGAACCTAGTGAGAAAACATTATAGTGTCTAGTATATTATCTGGAACACTCCAAATTTCCTGAAAATGTGATTCTAAAATTTACCAGAGAGCACAGTTTGGAAATGGAAGATGGCAGTGAAATTTAAAAGAAAATTCATATATTCAACCTTTAATGTAAAAAACATGAAATCTAAATGAGGAAGAAACTTAGGAAAGTTGAAAATTCTATTTTAAATACTTTGGACCAGATTTAAATTTTAAAAATTATTTTATTATCTCTGGGTGACATTTTCATTTATAGTGACATTTATATACACATACATATAGGAGGTGTGTGTATGTGAGATGTGTTCCTTGGAGCTTTTGATAAAACCCATATTTCTATCACTAATTCATTTACAACTAAAGAGAGCAGCATACAGGTAAATTTGAGACTTTCCTTTTGATAATTTCCATTTGTAACAAGGTGTGATAAGCATATATTTAATGGTTATTGACAAAGTTTAATATCATCAAAAATACTCTTAAGTCTATCTGGATTTTATTTTCATTGTTTTTTTTCCCCTGCACTCTTCTTTTTTCTTAAAAAGCGTGAAAGACCCCGTGCAAATACAGAGCCTGTGTTGTTGCTTTGCATACTTTGGTGCATTGCTGTTTATTCCTTAATCCAGCAGCATCCTTAGTTTGTAGCATTTTACTTAGCGGCAACTGAAAAAATCACTAGCCTAGGCTTTAACTGGGAACTTCTGTTATCCAGAAGGTTATTGTGAACCTGTCAGAAAGGTGGTAAGCAACCAAAAGAGCCGTCTCAAAGACTGTGCACCCGGAGCTTGCCCAGCTCTGTAGACATAAGCAGCTTGGTAGTCTCATGTCCCAGCTCACACCAGATGGACACGGCACATTAGAAGGAAGGGGGCGCCTGTTAGAGGCAGGCAGATTGACAGTGTGGTACGAGACAGAACAAACTACTTAGCAGATATAAAAAACTTTTGAATTAAAAAAACCAACCACCAGCAATCTGAGGCAAATGATTATATATACCTCAGGGCTGAGGGAATCACTTTATAATTGATATTAACTCATATTTGTTATAGCCCTTTACATTTTATGAAGTATTTTACATACATCAGAGCTCAGTGGATATTTGTAATAACGCATGAATATAACGTTTACTTTTCATCATGAAAAAGTGAATTATACTGAGCATGCTGTTGAGGAAGGCAGGGAGGTATACTAACACATCTGAAAGACTTGCATCAAAAATAATTACAAGTTTTAAATTTTGGCACTTAAGAGATATGCATTAGTTACCCAAAAACTCATTTATATGCTTTCCTTCATGACCAATACAGGGTGTTACTGAGTGAATTGTCATAGCTCTCAGTGACTGCTGGTCATTAATGGGGATGATTGTCATCAGTAAGTTATCAGACCATTTCGCCTGCTAAACACAATCTTAACAGATACTTATGGATGCCAATACCATATTTTCCAACTAATATGAGAAACAATCAGCTTCTAAAAGATTCTCAGAGTGTTTTTCCTATATTGCACTTTCTAGAAAACAAAACTTTAGCAATGATATAATGTGATCTTGGTTCTAGACATAGGAGCAGGGAACATGTAATTTACCTTTTCCTTGCTTGTTTTCCTAAAATTTTTGGTATAGCCTCTTCTCAGGGATGTAACAAGAAGAAATAACAAAATATACATGTTCTTTGGGCTTCTGAGAAAACAGACCACACACATTTTCAAAGATTAAAATAGAGGTCTCTCTGCCTTAGCCACTTCATTTTCACAATTGAAAATAAGGAACTACTGTATGTTTGATGTTCCTGAACTCATTCAACATAGCATTGCCATAAATATACTGTTCTGCAGAAAACTTTTTAAAACAGAAGTATAATAATTTATACTACATTTACCAACAATTATACTACATTATCAATTATCATATATTTACCAATTATCATGAATAAAAATGACTAGATAAAATTTAGAGTAAAAAACACCAGATTAGATTTTATACTCTAAGTGAAATGGGACTATGAAATGGTAAGATGTAATTTCCTTCAATAGTATAGCATTCCTGATGCCCTTTAATTCCTTGATTAATGTCCCTAATGACTTTTTGTGTGTGTATGTGAGGAAGATCGGCCCTGAGCTAACATCTGCCAATCCTCCTCTTTTTGCTGAGGAAGACTGGCCCTGGGCTAACATCCGTGCCCATCTTCCTCTACTTTATATGGGACGCCGCCACAGCATGGCTTGACAAGCGGTGTATCAGTGCACGCCCAGGATCAGAACCTGCGAACCCCGGGCCTCCGCAGCGGAGCGTGCGCACTTAACCACTTGCGCCACCGGGCCGCACCGCCCCCCTCCCCCCCGCCATGACTTTTTGATCGTGACCATACTTCAAAGAGGACAAAGGCTGTTTTGTTGAGTTTGCTGGCCGTCAATTTTTAATTCTCATCTGTGTGGCTCTATTTTTATATAAGGCTATGTATCTTCCGTTTTTCTTTATTTTATAGCTGCTTATCCTGCTGGGGGTTTTTAGTTAGGAATGAACTGTATGTATGCCCTACGGTTTATGGCATTTAATTCTAATGGAAACTGTCAATCTTGTAGATGTTCTTTCACATGATGCAGAAAATAAGCCAGCTCTGTAGTAAAGAACTTCCAGAGGATTCTAAACAAGTGAATTAACAGGCCAGTGTACCATCCTTTGCAACTAGAGGACAAACAGCGCAGTAAGCACAGACTCTGGCTAAAGCAGACCTGGGTTTGAATCCCAGTGCCGCCACCCAATGCCGGCTCTGTGACTTAACCTTTCTGACCCTCCGTTTCCTCCAAAGTAAGCTGGTACTTGTGCCACCTACCTTGCAAGGTTTTTATGAGGGCTAGTAGTAAGGTGTGCACCTTATCTGCATATCTATCTATAATGGTTAAAGAATCATGGACTGAAATTCAGAGTTGGGCAACACATGGGCCCACGTCTGACATGGAACTCTCTCCAAAGGGGATGCAATTCATGGAACCTTCTTTTGATTATGAGTACAATCATTGTACTTAGTAGCTTATTTTTAATGTTAACATTGGGTGTTTTTGCCTCCAAAATTTTATTTTCTTTTAAATATGTGTTTTTTAAAAAGTCTATGGCAAACCTGTTTTCACTGTGCTTTGTGGTAACATTTTTTTTTTTAATGATTTTTATTTATTTATTTTTTTTCCCCAAAGCCCCAGTAGATAGTTGTCTGTCATAGCTGCACATCCTTCTAGTTGCTGTATGTGGGACGCGGCCTCAGCATGGCCGGAGAAGCAGTGCGTCGGTGCGCGCCCGGGATTCCGAGCCCGGGCCACCAGCAGCGGAGTGCGCGCACTTAACCGCTAAGCCACGGGGCCGGCCCTGTGGTAACATTTTTTATGACCAAAAAACTTCTAATTTTTTTTTAACATCCATGGTATAGTGATATAATTTTTAAAATTTGTCCTAGAGTCACATTGTTCCAAGAGAGATGTAACCTCTATACATATGTGTGAATGGCTGTTCAGTAGGTCCTACAAAGAAATGTCATTTTTATTCATGTATTTGGGTTGCTTAAACATTTCTATAAGATCTAAAATACTTTTCTTCTTATGGCTGGAATTCTCAGCATCTACTCCCATGCCTTCCTTTTTCAATCTATTGGCCAGTTTAAGGGTATTCACAATAATACAACTTAAGGACAAAGTAAAGTGTTCATAATTCGTTGTTTTAACAGCCGGCATACTACAGTAGAAATTGCCCTGAGCAAGGAATTAGGGAGACTTGAATTCAAGTCCTGGCTCTGCCACTAATTTTGCAGGATGACTTTAAGCAAGTCACTTAACTTCTCTCATTCATCAAATAATGAGATTGATTACATCCATTTTAAGTTATTTTCTACCTCTAAAATTGCTTTCATTTACTTATTATTATTTTTTTAATAATCAAAACACCTTCTGGGAGTTATGTTAAGCACCTGATGGGTACAGAAGTATTTACTGATATTCAAGGTAGTGTTTCTCAAACTGTGATCTGGGGACCACCTGAATAAAGATTACTTGAGGTTCCTGTGAAAAATACAGATTCCTGTCCTCTCCCTGACTGAATGAGAACCTCCAAAGGTGAGGGCCAGGTTTCTGTATTTTTCACAAGTTCCTCAATGATTATAATGCACCCTAAGGTTTGAGAACCACTGGCCTAAGAGAATGTGATCTAAGAGGGAAAAGCTAGCTTGTGGTTTAAATTACTCTAACCTCTGGCAAATCCCTTCTAAACACCATACCATGCAATGCAGAGGAGACCAGAAGAAAGCTGCTTACTTCAGCAGAACAGCCAGCCTGTGCTGGACCCCTTGCCGGGTGCTTTTCACTTGCTGTGTCCATAACAAAACACAGCAAAAGGTCTCCACATCTCTTAGCCTTGACGTCAAGTCACTGACGACCATAGTTATGACGACAGCTGGAAGAGGCCTGCAGTTCTCCCCTCACTAACAGTAAGAGAGTTGAGCTTGTGCCACTTGGCTAAGGAAGAAAGATGAGTAAAACAACCTCTTTATTCTTGATTCCCCTCCACCCCAATACTATAACTTGTCATCCTGTCTGATTCAAATAATCTGGCAGAGAAAACAGAAACTCTAAGCCACATTGTTCTTGTCACACTGTGGCCAAAGTCCTAATCTACTAAATGAATCCTCTTCTATGCAGCAGAAATGACCAAAGCCCGTTCCTGCTCCTCTTCTCCTGTCTAGTGCTATTGACAGGAACAAAACACCAAGTGAGGACACATGCTATAGGTCTTTAAATTCATACAGGTAAATTACAAAGAGAAGTGGTAATACTTTTTCTAGAATTTCACAACAAAATCCCTCTCACAGTGAAAAAATATGTATAATTTTAACAGGAAACTTAAAAGACATTTTGTTGCAAGACTATCTAACAGTTATGATAATAATGCCATTATCTGTGCTCATTATAGAGAAACATAACAGCAACTTTAAAAGGCCAAGTCTACTGAGAAGTGAAGATGAAATTTCTTTTTCAGCAACCAGTATGCCAACGTCAAATTTCTGGGTTTTGTTCAATACTAGTGTTACGGGTTTCTCCTACCCCAACCAAACTGCCAAATGTCCACAAAATTCACACCAACATCAAAAAAATAAAAAAGAAAAGAAAGAAACTTGACAAGAGCTACCATGCAAAATAACCAGAAGAACTTGAGTTCAGTGGCACAGATCAGCAGGAGCAGAGGAATGCTGCAAAAGATGATGCTGCATAGAGTCTAACTTGGTGATGCCCCTATGATGCTGGACGACCAAGTACTCAGGTCACAGATGTGTTCATGGACCCATAAGAACCAGGATCTTCATCCAAACTTTTAAGATCTTCTAAAAAGAAAATACTTCACCTAAATTGAAGTAATTTATAAGTTAAACACCAGAAGAGTTCCTTATTTGATGTAAATTGTGCCTAAAACTTTGGCTGATACAAAGAAACCCGTCCACTAAGGCACCCTGAGGCAATCTGACAATGTGTTGGAGAGAACTTGGTTGTCAGTACCACATCATTATGAGAGTACAGAGAACGGATCACCCGTAGGGGACTGGCTTCTTTGGGCAAACAGTCAATAAGTTCACTGCACTGTTTGTCAAATCCCAACAAGCGAATCCCATAGCCATGTGGGGAAGAAATCATTCGCCCATCAGGGCTGAAGCAAAGTTCTTTGATATAACCCCTGCCTACGTTGGCTTCTTCAACGTAATGAGTCAGTCGTAGAGAACAGCGAGGTGAGACGGGTCGCACGGGAGCTCCTTCTTGGAATTCATAGACACAAGTCCACTAGGGGGAGAGAAGAGAGACAAACCAAAGTTATAGAGCCCCAAATAGTGCTACAGATAGTCCTTTTCTTTTCTTTTTCTTTCTTTTTTTTTTTGGTGAGGAAGATCAGCCCTGAGCTAACATCCACGCCAATCCTCCTCTTTTTGCTGAGGAAGACTGGCCCTGGGCTAACATCTGTGCCCATCTTCCTCCACTTTATATGGGACGCCGCCACAGCATGGCCTGACAAGCGGTGCATCGGCGCGCACCCGGCATCCAACCCAGGCCGCCAGCAGCGGAGTGCGCGCACTTAACTGCTATGCCACGGGGCCGGCCCCAAATAGTCCTTTTCTTAAAAAGTTCAACAGAATGCCAAAGCCACAGAATTGAATGCTACCCCACTCCCAACTAACAAAATTTGTAGGCATCCCTTCTTATCCTCATAAGCTAAGGTTATTCTGTAATATGACGCTTTAAAGCCTTTTATTCCCTGAGGCTGCTGTGATTTCTGTAGTAGTAGTACCCTTTTCTGAGAGTAACAACAATCTGGATATTTAAAACATTCTAGGGCTAAGACATCCAAACCCTAGAATACCTCTCCTCCTACACACTTCAAAGGCTCTTCTCTCTTTCTTTCAGTTGTGGCTTCTAGAGCTAGTGAGATCCTTGGAAGGCTCCTGCTTTCCAGAGGGATAAGAATCACAAGGTCATATAAGACCTTTTCCCCTAGTCATCAGTTTAGTCTTTTCCCAAAGTGTCCCCTGGTTTTTAAAAAAAGAAAATTATAATAGTCAATTGGCTTAGCAAAACCTCACATTTAGCCAGCTTAGCTGAAACATCTCAGTCCTATGTTTCCCATGTAAGGGTTTTTTTACGATGAGATGAAGGAGGCAAGAATTAAGAAGCTGGGCACAATCTATGCTGATGATTGCTTTCAGGTACTGCCCAGCTTGCCACAACCAGGCCAGAGAGGAGGAAGAAGGGTTTTCAAGGAATAAAGATCCCGTGAGCACACAGGGCAATGGCAATTTGTTCAATCAGCCCTGCTGAAAGTGGAGTGCTGCTGCCTGTACCTCCTGGTCATCAGTGTTGCTTGAGCACCGAAGAAGAGTGGCCCAGCCTTTTGGGTGCAGCTGTAAGGATGTGATGCAGTTTCCACGGTCTCTCTCACCAGGAACTTCAGGCGTTAAGACTTCAAGACTATTTCGTGGTGCAACTCCTGAGATACAAAAAAATTAGGACATGGGATTTGTACTATCAAAGGACTAAGGCAGCTTATCAAAGCATTGATTTCTGGCAGCCACTCCCCATGCCTTCATTGCTTCGTCTACCCCTTATGCTACCACATGTAGAATAACATGGTGTCCCTCAATGTATGGGATGTGAGTGTGTCTCTGGGGTGGGGTATGGGGAGAGGGTAGACTAGGACTAAAAAATCCAACTTCCTGCAGCAGGAATCACCAGTGACCTAAGGCTAAGGCATTAAAGCTGACTAGGGGTCCTTCTGATTTGGATCTACATCACAGAAAGCTCTTTATTTAAGTAAGAATCAAAGTTATGTGACATGAAAGGGATCTGGAAAAGTAAAGATAACAATTCTCATCTCAGAGGACCTGGTGCTCTGTGAAGTCCAGAGAAGGAAATACTTGGAAACTCTGAAGATTGCCTTTATATAAATAAAAGGCTATTATGTGTAAAAGGAGCAGGACTTATGGCCCCAAGGACAGCACTATAAACAACAAATAGACATATAATTTTGGAGGTGAGGGAGGACACCTCACATAGAGGCTTGTCAAAACACGGGGTGGTAGAAACTGCCAATCATACATATTCCCAGTGCTCTGCTATGGCCCATCATTTCCTCCTACCCAGCCCACAATGAAAGTGACTGCTGTAGTAAGCCACTGTCACTACTAATAGGAGTATGTCACATCCCTCAGGTATGTGGAGAACCACTTTCATAGACATTGGAAGGAAGCAGCTTAGAAATTTAATATCAAGAGAAATATTTCAACACTTCTCTGCCTGTGGAAGGAGTTGCTTTGAAGATAATGAGCTCCCTCTGTCAGACCCTTTGTGAATTATTTCTTAAGTACATGTATTATCTTCTTAAAAGATTCCCTTTAGATTACTACAGCATTGATACAGACCTGTGAAGCTCTAAATTATATTGTTACAACCAAACTATACCTAAATAATGATTTCACATGTGATTGAAGTTAATAATAATTTTAGAGAAAAACTCCTATTTCAAGAATTAATTTTGAAAATCTATAACAAAAGCAGAAAAGAAACCCATTCTAAATAGGTAGTGGTTTTTGAGCTGTGCTCCTTGGAAGTTCCTCAAAAGCTGGCAAAGGGGGGGAACCACATGAGGGCCAGGGTGGAGATGGAGTAGGGAAGACTGGAGGGTCAAGGGCCTCCCTAATTTCACTTGAAACAGAGTTACTTCACTTTTACTTGTGCTATACCTCTAAAAATCCACAGCAGATTTCATGTCAAAAATAGAGTTCTAATCCTGAAAAGAGTTTGAAAGCCTCTGCTCTATATAGTTATTATATCTGCCAAAGTATGGTGCTAACATACTCTGACACCTGAAGACCCAGGATTCCCAACATTCAGAGCAATCTTACCTGTAAGCTCCACCTTCTTCTCTCTTTCCACTCCCTAATTCTCTTCCTCTCTCTGCCCAGGCTCCCCATATACCATGTCTTCTCCCATTGCCAACTCTCTAGAGCATGAAACTATTTTTGGGTTTCAACAAGCAAGCATGTTAACTATTCTTAAGTTTCTTTTTCTCATGCATGGTTTAGTTAATCAATAAATATTTTTCTCAATGATTGTTAAGAGCCTTGGCTTGTTTCCCATAGCCAAAGGAGAAGGAAAAGAACAAGTAGAATCTGCAAAAGAAGTTTCTGCTACAAATCAAAGACATGTTACATATCTGGGCATAAATCTCTAAATTTAAGGGGAGGAGTTTTTAACCTTAAAGTGAAACATCACAGTCTTCAACATCCAGAGGAAAGTGAATAGGCTATAGGTTAGGTTAGGAAGGGCTCTCAAACCATTCTACTCACATAAGTATTTATGCAAAATAATCAAGTGTGCATTTATTGAGCACGAATCGGTGAGGCCACCCAGGGAAAACACAAATTAGAAGTATGATATATAGTCCCCTCCCCTAAATATCTAGGTAGGAGACATGCTTATCTCCAAAAGCTGACCCAAAATACAAAAAAAAACATATCTGGCCATCAGTCCACAAAGAGGAGGACAAACAAAAAGTGCAGTAAGAGCTAAGATGTGGATTAGTATGGAGAGGGATGATAGGTGAAATTTGCATAGGTAGAAAGCATTTAATTTAGGGGGTGGAAGCAACAGACTAAGCAGCTAGTTCTGCCAGACTGGCTGGGGAAAAACTGGCAAAAGCAGAGTGAGGCCAGATTGTAGCTCACTTTATCCCACAACCCATCTGAGGCTGTCAGGTATTGCTCAGATAAGGAAATGGCAGAGCAAAAAGCCTCCTGGGCTGGAACCAGGCGACTTTCACAAGCCCCTGAGAAACTCATCCCCTTGTGTGTATACAGCAGTGTCACATGCAAAATCTCATTTAATTTCCATAGCAACCTTGATTGGAATCCACATTTCCCAACCGCAGTCATGTATTGCTTAACAACAGGGATACATTCTGAGAAATGCATCGTTTGGCAATTTTGTCATTGTGTGAACATCATAGAGTGCACTTACGCAAACCTAGATAGTACAGCCTACTACACACCTAGGCCATATGGTACTAATCTTATGGGACCACCGTCCTATATGCAGTCCGTCATTGACCGAAATATCATTATACAGCACGTGACGGTACTTCCTCTCCAAACTAGACCAAACTAAGCCCAGGAAATGAAACCAAAGCCCAAATTCCAACAAAGATTTAAGCCTAAGATATTCAATCCTAGAGACTTTGGGTAGCTTTTTGAAAATGATGAATGAGGGGCAAGGAATAGCCTCATCTTTATTGGCTTTTATTTTTATGGATTAAAACCAAACTAAAGAAAGCTATTTGGTAGAATCTGTTGTTGCAAGATTATAAAATCCAAATTTTAACCTACCTTCTCTTTGGGAGGCTCGTGACATATGTTTCTCAGAAGATGAATTAGAATCACTATGATGACAAGGTGAACCAGAAACTCTAGGACCAGATGAACTTGACGAAGTGCTCAGATCTTGAAAATACAAAAAGTTCTGACAATAAATCTAGCAAAACTCTGATAGTGTCTCAACTTTTTAATCATCTACTTGAACCATACTGTTAAAATCCATGTGAAACATGGCAAGTACACGTCCACTTAAAACTGGCCTGTAACTAAGACTGAAGTAGGCAGGACAGCTCTTTGAAGTGTTATATCTAAGGCCTAGTCCCTTTCTAAAACCTTTTATACCAATGACTTGCTTAAGTGAAATAAAAATGAAAAACTAAATAAACATAGGAGCATCTTTGGTTCTCCGTCATTTCTGTAATGAAATGGAACAAGCAAATTTAGTAAGAATGAAAACTGACAGTTCAGCCTGTTGTTTAATGTTAGAATAGAGTTCAAACAATAAGCCCATTACTGAGAACATAAACAGATCCTTCTTAAAGCATATGAAAAACTTCTATTATCATTCTTGAAATTATGTGAATACTATCTTTGAAATGCAATACAAACTTTACATTGAAACCTGTGGCAAAATAAAATGAATATCAGATGGTTAGGTTTGATGTATTACCCCAAATACCAAACTCTAGATCATCATGCTTTTCTAGTGGCCCCACACTTCTGTGGAGACGTCTTATTAACCTAATTCCCTTTGATGTTATTAAGTATCAGAATTACCCTTAGAAGACAGAAAACCTTCTTAGTTTTTGAGTCAAAAATTATAACTAGACCTTCTATTCTAAATTACTACTCCTCTCTAAGCTATAGTTGATTATTAATGTTTAACCTTAAAAAAATTCTGAGTCTAAAAGGATTGTACTTGCATATTTTATGAAATCCTTTGATTGAAAGTAAGTTGCTGGAACCTAAATTTCTACTTTTAGCAGTGAAATTGGGCAACTGCAGTACAGTGAGGCCTGAGCATTCCCAAAGGAGTCTTCAGAAGTGGCCCTGTGCACACAGCAGAAAGATCCAAGCATTTGAAGCTAATTTTCAATAGCAATTTATGAACATTATGTATTCCAAATGCTTAAGTCTTTTTTTTCTGGATTCTTGTTCATAAACACAATATTATAAATGATGGGTATGTTCCCACATCAGCCCTCTTTTTGCAAAAGGTAGATGAAATATCATAAAATGTAGATGAATTATAGGGCATAAGTTTTTCTGAGCCCCAATTTCATGTAAGTCTAATGGAATCAGCAACATGAGAAGGAACACGGCTTTAGCAAGAGGATGTTTCGGGGTCATGTGATAAGAAGGCACCAACTGCCTGTGTCTGGACACCTGGAAGTCTACAATACAAGATAGACTTAAAATTAAAACTCTCTATTAACTATGACTTAAAAGCTCTGCTGGGTTCCAGAAGGACTTAAAAAGATTGATACTACCTTGGGCCATCACTAATTTTTGAGATGATGATGATTTAGAAATACTGATGAAAGATTTTCTGGCTAACAGAGAGCTCAAGAAAATATTTTTAGAGTTGGCAGTTATTCTTCCTAGATCATTTGTGATACAGAGGAACAAATTAATGCTATGTCAGAGATACATACAGGTCATTATACTTCCTTGGGGAAAAAGCTCTCACTGAGCCTTCTAAAGAATGTCTTTTAATTTTCTTCCCTTCTTCCTGCTATCATTCTCAGAATGGAAACATGGAACATCCCTATGTCTGAGATTCTTTGGAAAACTCTTTAATCATAAAAAAGAAAAGCTTACCTGAACTTGATGTAGTTCTTCTTGCTCTCAAAATGGGATAGCTGCCTACTTCTAAAGACTTGGTTAAGTCAAGATCATGCAAAATCAAGAGATATCCAGAGGATGTTGAGATCAACATTTTGGAACAATCTGGTGTTAATCTCATTCTCATGAGAAAACGTGTGTGAAAGAACTTCTTATGCGGACACCCATCTTCTGTACACCTACAGGAGAAATCAAACCAACAAAACCTAGAGTTATCATAAATCTAAGGATTCAGTGATAGTCATATTTTTGCCCTTCAAACTAGAATTTACAGTCAATGTATACTTAGCTACACACGTGATTAACAATGTTTTTGCTCACCATTCCTTCTTTCATCTCTGACTTTCCTTTTTAGATTATTCTCTCTCTTTCTAAAGTATAATTTTTTTAAGTAAGACTTTGTTGAGGTAAACTCTTACCTTTTATTGTTCTGAAAATATTTATTTCACTCTTTTTTTTTTTTAAGTGAGGGATTTTCTTCCCATGAACAATATTTGTTTAGAGTCATTGGTAAATTATTAATCTGCATTCCAGTGTTTCATGTTTGAAATACCAGCCCTCCCTGTCCGTGGGGGATTTGATCTCACGCTGTAATCAGCAGAGGGTTCTGGGAAGTGGGAATGGCTGTGGTTCGCTTTTTTTTTTTTTTTTTTTGAGGAAGATTGGCCCTGAGCTAACATCTGTTGCCCATCTTCCTCTTTTTTAATTTTTCTCCCCAAAGCCCCCGGTACACAGTTGTATGTCCTATTTGTAGGTCCTTCTAGTTCTTCTGTATGGGACACCACCTCAGCATGGCTTGATGAGTGGTGAGTAGGTCCGCACCCAGGATCCGAACCGGCGAACCCCAGGCCTTGGAAGCTGAATGCGCGAACTTAACTGCTGCGCCATGGGGATGGCCCCTCACCCTTCTTTTTTGATTTAAGGTTTAGCTGAGCATATAACTTTAGGTTCATAGTTATTTCTTTCTGAATATTAAGGATAATATTCCACTGAGTTCTGGCTTCCATTGTTGCTATTTCTAAGTCTGCTATCAGTCTAATTGTTACTTTGGATAATTTATCTTTTTTTTTCCCTCTGTCCGATCGTCTCTGTCTTTGGAGTAGTGCAGTTTCACTTTGATATGTGTAAATCTGGATTTCTTTCTATTTATCTTTATTGGGATTCATTTGGCTTTCCAAGTCTTAAGATTCATGTTATTCACATTTTCTGGAAAATATTCCGTCATTATTCCAATGTTGCCTCTCAAATATTTTCTCTATTCTTTTGGAGCTCCAAATAGATGTTTGAAACATTCACATTTGACTCTCCTTGTCTCGCAGTTGTTCTTTCATGTTTTCTACCTCCTCATTTCCATAGGTTGCATTCTGGGTAGTTTTTCAATATCTATCTTCCAATCTATTTTTTTAAGCTGTGTCTAAACTGCTACTTGACCTTCTCTTATTATTTTTTTTTAATTTCAATAATTACATTTTTTTTACTTCTTTAAGTTCTAGTTGGCTCTTTTTCAAATCTGTCTGGTCTTTTGAATAGATTTTTATTCCTTGCCTATGTTTTTTATTCCTCCTTTTATTTCCTTTTTTGTTAATTATTTTTAAAATTGTGAATTGTATCATACCTACAGAAAAGTACATAAATAAAACCTATGTGAAGTTTAAAGGAAAATGAACACCTGTGACTCATCACTCATGTTAGGTAGAACAATACCACTACTTTAAAAGTCCCCTCTATTTCTCTGCTCTGTTGCATTGTTCAGTCAACTTTCAATGCTTCAAGCATACAATGTCTTTTCTGATCTCTCTGAGGATATTGATAGATTTTTTTAAATTTTATGTTTTCTTCTCCCCATGTAGTCTCTACTTTTCCAAAATATCTCCCCATTGGTGTAGGTCACTATATTAGTTTTTCTCAACGGTCTGATTATCTTTGGCTGTCTGCTCATAAATAAGAGTGGGGAACTAGGAAGCTGACTGGGAACTCTGAGTGCAGGGGTAGGCTTGAGCTTCACTGTATAGGGTGAAGAAACTCCTAATGTCAGTATCTTTGGTTCATTAACTGGAAGAAGGCTGAGGATCTCGGAATTCAATATTCAGTGTGCATATTGTCACTCACTCCTCCTGATTTTGGTAAGGTACTCAGGCCTTCAACTGTGTCTGGCATCCTCAATACAGAGATTCTCTATTTTATCTTCTTTAGAGAATAAAATTTGAAACTTTTGCTGAAGTGGGAGAAAATTGATCACCCACTGTATGGATTAAGGAGGAAATATAAGTTCTTAAATGTCTTTCACTTGAATCCTTTCTTTAGCTACCCCTTTGACCTCAGAGTACCGAGAGCTGCAGTTCCTATGATTTTTGAGGATATTGTATAAATTGTCTTAAGTTCGTAACTTTTCCCCACTGCCAGCTTAGGATTCAGCTTTCTTGCACTTACTACGTAAGTGGTTTAAGTGAGTTGCTAAATCAGTTGCCAGTCATCTACCTGCTTTCCAGATTCTAGAATTTTTTGTCATTGCTTCCTCTCCTATTTCCCCATCTTTATGAGTTTATATCTTTTATTTTTTAAATTCCCTTATTATAGTTTTAGAGGAGTCTTCTCATCCATAGACTTTATATAGGTCTTACAATGACTTAATTAATGTTACAATTTTCTCCATAAAGTTTATACAAATCTTCTGTTGCAGTACTAAAAACTATATACCTTAAAAAATTTAAGTTGTTTGTTGAGATAAATAGGAACACTACTGATTTTTACATTTTGATCTTATATCTAACAATCTTGGTTTAACTCTTATTAATTCTGATAATTTGTCTACAGAATTTCTAGGGTTTTCTATATAGACCAGGGGTCAAAAAACTGTGGCCTATGGGCCAAATCTGGACCACTGCCTGTTTTTATGTAGAAAGTTTGTTGGAACACAACCACACCCGTTCATGTATTGTCTATGGCTGCTCAGAGACCACATAGCACACAAAACCTAAAATATGTATTACACGGTCCTTTATAGAAACAGTTTGCCAATTCCTGATATAGACAGTCATATCATCTATGAATGATATGGTTTAATTATTTCCCTTCCAATCCTTATATATTTATTTCTTTACTGCACCAACGAGGACCCTGCCTCCTCCCACCCCAAAACAATGGTGAACAGAAGTAGTAATAGCAGGCATGTTCTCCTTCCTGATTTAATAGAGAAAACTTCTAAAGTTTTCCCATTTTTAAATGTGCTATAGGTTTTAGTGTATACTTTTCATGAGTTTCTTTCTATTTCTAGTTAATTAACAGTCTGGTTTTTTAACAGCTTTATTGAGGTATAATTTACATACCATAAAATTCATTCATTCTAAGTGTACAATTAAGTGATTTTTAGTAAATTTACAGAGTTGTGCAATCATCAACACGATCCAATTTTAGAACATTTTCATCACCCCAAAAAAATCCCTCCTGCCCATTAGCAATCACTCCCTGTTCCTACTCCCAGCCACAGGCAAGCACTAATCTACTTTTTTCTCTATAGATCTGCCTATTTTGGACATTTCATATAAACAGAATCATACAGTAAGTGGTCTTTTGATTTGGTTTTTTTCACTTAGCATAATTTTTTTGAAGTTCATCTATGTTGTAGTACATATTAGTACACTGTTCCTTTTTGTTACCAAATTCTATTCTATTATATAGATATACCACATTTTGTTTACCTATTTACCAGTTGACAGATATTTGGATTGGTTCCATTTTTTAGCTATTATGAATACTACTACTGTAAGCATTCATGTACAAGTCTTTGTGTGGACATATGTGTTCATTTCTCTTGGGTAGATATCTAGGAGTGGAATTACTGGGTCATATGGTAACTCTATGCTAAGCATTATTTTTCCCCCCCAAAACCCCAGTAGATAGTTGTATGTCGTAGTTGCACATCCTTCTAGTTGCTGTATGTGGGACTCGGCCTCAGCATGGCTGGAGAAGCGGTGCGGCGGTGCGCGCCCGGGATCAGAACCCGGGCCACCAGCAGCAGAGCATGCACACTTAACCGCCAAGCCACGGGGCCGGCCCTATGCTAAGCATTTTAAGAAACTGCCAAACTGTTTTCTCAAGTGACTGTACCACTTTACATTCCTACCAGCAATCTACAAAGTTCTAGTTTCTCCACATTATTGCCAGTACTTATTGTCTTTTTTATTAAAGCCATCTTAGTGGGTGTGAAGTGGTATCTCATTTTGGTTTGGACTTGCATTTCCCTTATGATGTTGAACATCTTTTCATGTGCTTGCTTACTAATCATTTGTACATCTTCCTTGGTGAAATGTCTATACAAATATTTTGCCCATTTTTAAATTGGGTTATTTGTGTACATATAAATGAGTTGCAAGAGTTCTTTATATATTCTGGACACAAATACTTTATCAGATGTGATTTACAAATATTCTCTCCCACTCTGTAGTTTTTCTTTTCACTTTCTTAATGGTAGCATTTGATGTACAAAGCTTTTTGATTTTGTGTGTGTGTGTGTGTGTGAGGAAGATCAGCCCTGAGCTAACATCCATGCCAATCTTCCTCTTTTTGCTGAGGAAGATTGGCCCTGGGCTAACATCTGTGCCGATCTTCCTCTACTTTATATGGGACGCCGCCACAGCATGGCTTGACAAGCGGTACATCGGTGCGCGCCTGGGATCTGAACCCGGGCCACCAGCAGTAGAGCACATGCACTTAACTGCTACGCCACGGGGTTGGCCCCAAAGCTTTTTAATTTTAATGAAGTCCATTTTATCAATTGTGCTTTGGTGTCATATGAAGATTTACTACCATATTTTCTTCTAAGCGTTATATAATTTTAGTTCTTATGTTCAGGTTGAAATCCATTTTGAGTTCATTTGTGTGATGTGAGATAAGGGTCTAAATTCATCTTTTTGTATGTGGATATCCAATTGTTCAAATATCATTTGTTGAAAAGACTATCCTTTCCTGAACCATTGAATTACCTTTGCACCTTTGTTGAAAATCAGCTGATCATAAATGCAAGAGTTCATTTCCAGACTCTCAATTCTGTTCCCTTGCTTTATATGCCTATCCTATCCCTGTACCACACTGTCTTGATTACTATGGCTTTGTAGTATGTTCTGCAATCAGGAAGTACGAGTCTTCCAACTTTGTTCTTCTTTTTCAAGATTGTTTTGGCTATTCTGGGTCATTTGCATTTCCATATAAATGTTAGAATAAGCTTGACAATTTGTCCAAAAAAAGGCAGCTGGAATTTTGATAGGGATTGCATTGAATCTATAGATTCATTTGGAGAGAATTGCCATCTTAATGATTTTGAGTCTTCCAATCCATGAACATGGAATGTCTCTCCATTCATTTACATCTTCTTACATTTCTTTCAGCAATGTTTTAGTTATCAGTGTACAAATCTTGTACTACTTTTGTTAAATCTATTCCTAAGTACTTTATTCTTTTTTTTTTTTTAATTTTTATTTATTTTAGTTTTTCCCCCAAAGCCCCAGTAGATAGTTGTATGTCATAGTTGCACAGCCTTCTAGTTGCTGTATGTGGGACGTGGCCTCATCGTGGCTGGAGAAGTGGTGCGTTGGTGCGCGCCTGGGATCCGAACCCAGGTCGCCAGCAGCAGAGCACGCACTTAACTGTTAAGCCACGGGGCCGGCCCTAAGTGCTTTATTCTTTTTGATGCTATCATGAATGAAGTTGTTTTCTTCATTCATTTTTGGACTGTTCATTGCTTATAAGTAGAAATACAATAGATTTTTATATATTAATCTTGTATATCTTATGACCTTGCTGAACTTGTTTACTAGTTCTAGTATTTATTTTGTTAATTTCTTAAGATTTTCTATATACAAAATTATATCTTCTGCATTTGAAGACAATTTTACTTGTTCCTTTCCAACCTGGATGGCTGTTATTTCTTTTTCTTGCCTGATCGCATTTCCAGCGCAATTGTACCTCCAGTACAATGTTGAATAAAGGTGGTGGGAGCAGATATCCTTGCCTTGTTCCCAGTCTTAGGGGGAATGTATTCAGTCTTTCAACATTAAGTATAATTTTAGCCATAGGTTTTTCATAGATATCCTTCATCAGGTTGAGGAAGTTCCCTGTTATTCCTAGTTTTATCACAAATGGGTGCTGGTTTTTGTCAATATCTGCCTTTATTAAGATGATCTTATGTATGGGTTTCGACCTTTATTAATATGATATATTACATTAATTGATTTTTGGATATTAAACCCACCCTGTATTCCTGGAATAAATTCCACTTGGTTGTGACACATAATCCTTTATATAATGTTGCTAGGTTTTATTTGCTAATGTTTTGTTGAGGATTTTCGTATCTTTTTTTTTTAAAGGGATATTGGGCTGTAGTTTTCTATTCTTATGATGTTTGTCTGGTTTGGTATCAGAGTAATACTAGCCTCATAAAATGAGCTGGAAGTGTTCTACCCTCTTCTATTTTCTGGAAGAGTCTGTGAAAGACTGGTGTTATTTATTCTGTAAAAGTTTGGTAAAATTCACCAGTGAAGCCTTTGGGCCTGGGCTTTTCATTGTGGGAAGATTTTAAAATTACCAATTCAATTTCTTTACTTGCTATAGATCTGTAAGACTGTAGATTTTTTATTTGTTCTTGAGTCAGTTTAAGTGATTTGGGGCTCTCTAGGTAATTGTTTATCTAAGTTGTCAAATTTGTTGCCATAAAGTTTTTCATTGTATTCCTTTATAATTCTTTTAATCTCTCTAAGGTTGGTAATGATGTCCCCTCTTTTGTTTTTAATTATGTTGAATTTTATTCCTTGATTAAAACAATCATATGGATTTATCTATTTAATCTGTTAACGTGATAAATTAGATTCACAGAATTTCTATTGATAAATCTTCTTTTCATTCCTTGAATAAACCCAACTTGGTTATGATATTTTGATTAATATCTTACAGGATTCAGTCTCCTTTTATTTACAGTATTTGCATCTACATTCATATTATAGATTGACCTTTCATTTTTCTTCTTCTAATATTATCTTTGCTGAGTTTAGGTATCAAGGTCATACTAGCTCCATATATGAGGTAAGGAGAATTCTTTCTTTTTCTGGAATCTGAACAGTTTAATAAAATTGGAATGTTCTGTTTCTTGTAATATTTGGTAAAAGTCACCTGTAAAATGGATAGGCCTGCCATTTTATTAGTAGATAGGTTTTAGTTGATTTTTTTCCATTTGTTTAATGGTTATGACAGAGGTGATATTGAGAATATTTAAATAACCAGCAGTGCAAGAAAACTAGCCAGTCAGAATTGATGCAGGTGGCAGTGCTGGAACTGGGTCCTGGAATTACTCTACTGTGTGGGGTACTTTAGACCATAAGGAGATCTTGAGGGAGGTATCCCTAGAAGAAGGGCCTGGGTAGCCAGAGGGTGCCAGGATGTGACACCTGGGGATGATTCAGGGCAGTGGTTATTTATCTATTAGTGTGAAAGAAGTTCAATCTTTTAACAACCATTTCTGCTGAACCAGTGCATATTGGTTAAATATCAGTCCTGGCAATAGGTCTATTTCAGGTTTTCTATTTCTTCGTTGGTCAGTTTTGCTAAGGTGTTTTTTTTTGAGTAGACTATTTCATCAAAGTTTTTAAGTATAATGGCATAAAGCTGACCTTATTATCTTACTCTGTTATATTTTTTGTTGTCTCCTTTTTCATTGCTAAGATCATTCATTTGTGTCTTTTCTCTTTTTTCTCTTGATGAATCTTATCAGAGAATTGCATATTCAATTAGCTTTTTCAAAGAGCAGACTTCAAAAAAATCGTTATTATATTTTCACTTTCACTTTCATTAATTTATGCTTTTATCTTTATCATTTCCATACATCTACTTTCATTGGGTTTACCCTTTTTATCTTTTTCCAGTTTTTTGAGTAAGATGCTTAGTTCATTAATTTTCCATCTATCTTCTGATTTCTTCTTTGATCCATGAATTATTTAGGAAGTGAATTTGTAAGTCTCCAAACATGGGTATTTTTAGTTACCTGTGTTAATTAAACTGTACTGAGGTCAGAGAAAATGGTTTGTATGTTAACAATCTTTGATACTGGTTGAGATTTGCCTTGCAGTCCAGTATATGCTCATTTTTTGTACAAGTTCTATGTTTGCTTCAGAGGATGTATTCACTATTTGTGGGGAGCAGAAGTCTAAATATGCCTGATATATCAAGCTTATTAATACTATTAAAATATTCTATAGCCTTACTAATTTTTTGGTCTATTTTATCTATTAGTAAATGAGAGAATGGTATTAATATTTTTCACTGAGATGAGGATTCTCACTTTTTTCTTATAATTTTGTTCATTTTCACTTTGTGTGTGTGTGTGTGTGAGGAGGACTAGCCCTGAGCTAACATCTAATGCCAATCCTCCCCTTTATTTTTTCTTGAGGAAGACTGGCCCTGGGCTAACATCTGTGTCCACCTTCCTCTATTTTATATAGGACGCCACCACAGCATGGCTTAACAAGCGGTGCATTGGTGCACGCCTGGGATCCAAACCTGTGAACCCCGGGCCGCCAAAGCAGAGCACGTGCACTTAACTGCTGCACCACCGGGCTGGCCCCATTTTCACTTTTTATGGTTTGAGGCTATGTTATTAGATGCATATAAGATAAGAATTCTTTTATGTTCTAGTGAAACAAACCATTTAATATAGTACCTTTTTTATCACTAGTAATGGTTTATGCCTTAAAGTCTATTTTGTCTGCTATTAAGTAGATATAACTGTTTTTCTTTGATTTGAATTTGCCTTTTATTTTTTTCCCATCATTTTACTTTCAAACTTTCTGCATTTGTATATTTTAGATGTGTCCCTTATAAAGAGCATATAGTTTGGTTCTGCTTTTTAATCTAATGTAATACTATCTGTTAACTGGCTACTTTAGTCCATATACATTTATTGTAATTATTGATATTTGGATTATCTGCCTACCATATTTTTGTGCTTCCTAATTTACCTGTTGTTGGTTTTTTTTAAATGCTTTTTCCCCCTTCTTCTCTGCCTCTGTTGGATTGATCATGTTTTATTAGCTTTTATCCTTCTACTAATTTGGAAGCTATCATTTATATTTCTATTCAAATTTTATTTCTAAATTTTAAAAAATAAATATATTTCCAAATTTTAACAGGTAGTTAGTCTTAGCGAAAAGATAATCAGTAGCTCTATCCTCTGCTCAACAATATGTGTAGCTAAAAATCTTTAAGAATATCTCCCTCTCTTTTTACATATGACCTCTGAAAAGACTATTTCAGAAATGATTTTGGTGTCTTATTGTATCGTCATTTCCCCATAGCTAGCAACAGGTATATTTTAATTATTTCTCAAACTTCAGCTTTTTAAATAATCAATTTCTATAAGGAGACATTTTATTGAAGTGTTTCACAACAGATGTTTTACTGACATTTTAGGTGGGATGGCTGGTCCACTGTGCAAACTGTCCTGTGCACTGTAGAATGTTTAGAAACTGATCCCTTCTGACTATGCCAGTGGAAATCCTCCTCTCTTCTCCCATAGTGACAAGTAAAACTGCACCGCACATTATTTCCAAACATTTCCCTAAGGATCAGTACCACTCCAACCAAGAAGCTACTTTTTTAATACATGAAAACAAAGAGCAAAAATTATAAAATAAATAGATTTAGAATTGAAGGTCCAAAGAGTGAAAAACATTTCAGTTCTACAAAGGAAATAACAAAAATATTTTTCCTTAAATTCAGGAAACTCATCTTATAAACCAGTTTACATCATTAACTATACTACTTGGTCTCCTTTCCATATAATTTTCTCCAAATTTTTTAGTTGCAATATATGACTAAGTACAAGTAACAAAAGAGGGAATCACTTTTTGATTGTTTTTCCCAAAGCCAGTTTCTTTCTCCTAAAGAGACATGAAAGCTGAGATATAACACTGACTTTGTTTGCCATCTTTAAAAAAATTTTTTGGTTCATAATCCTAACATGGCCTCCTATTCACAAACCTGTTGGTGTCCCAAATAATGACATTTCCATCAAATCCTGATGTTACTAAGAGTCTTGTATTAGTATCATATTCGATGTTCTTCACCCAGCTAGTGTGACCATGTAAAGTGCATACTTTGGTGTTCAATTTTCTCAGATCCCATAGTGCTATTGTAGTGTCATCAGAGCAGGTAGCAAACAGCCGGTTATCAAGAAATCTACAAAGCAGAAAAAAAAAAACTGGTTTATTTAATCTCTTATTACAGAACACTTGAGAAACAGTCTCTATATTACCTAATCGAGAAAACAAACAAAAAAGGACTACGAACTCACGGTATAAACCCAGTGATTCTAATGTACAATAAATAGTAACTATAATTCACATCATCACAGGAAAGGATACTACGATTAAATGAGGGCCACAGTGCAATGTTATCCATTTGCTTTACATTATTGATTTTTATTTGAAACTGGAAATAGGGGTGGGTGTTTGGAGAACAGTGCTAGAGAGAAAGAACTTTCGAATCTGTATAGGAAACACAAATGGTGAGAAACAATTTAATAGGAGACAGAGGAGATGTTGAAGACTTGATTCATGTTAGAGGGAGAGAGGGAGACATGTTAAGTGTAAAGGGTTCAAAATTACGAGAAATATTTACTCTGCTACAAGTAACATCTCTTTCAGAACATGTTTACGTACAAAAATTGCTATTAAAATGCCATCCTTTTTTGAAGAAGAAGATTGGCCCTGAGCTAACATCTGTTGCCAATCTTCCTCCTTTTTTCCTTTTTTCTCCCCAAAGCCCCAGTAGATAGTTGTATGTCATAGTTGTAGATCCTTCTAGTTGCTCTATGTGGGACGTCTTCAGCATAGCTCAATGAGCAGCGCGTAGGCCTGCGCCCAGGATCCGACCCCGCGAGACCCCGCGAACCCCAGGCCACCAAAGCAGAGCGTGCGAACTCAACCGCTAGGCCACCGGCCCGGCCCCTAAAATGCCATCCTAATTTATCTGTTAGTTCAAAGGCATTCCCCAAATAAACTCACTTAGCAACATTTTGTTAGGACCAGTCAAGATCACAAGATAGACAATTAAAATATGTACTTTATAATTCAGACTTTTAATTATTTTACACTAATTTCTCAATCCTTAGTAAGAATATATTTTATACAAATACTTAAAAAATAATAAAGCTACCAATTACACTTGAATTTCTGCCTAATTCAATATTAGGATGCTTTATCTAACATATGCTATTACATATAACTTCCTAATCTCTCGCAGAAAAAATGAATTCTGGAGCTTCTTCCAAGATAAAATTATATATAATTATTTTCTATTAGAAATAAACCTCAGTATCAACAAACATCATAATGAACTTTCTGAAACTTAACACGGTTTTAAAATTCCAGGCCTTCGTATAGGCTGTTTCTGCTACCTGAAACCACCTTCCCACTACCCCTTGACCTGGCTAACGCTTGCTTGCTTTTTAATATTTAGCTTTCATCCCCTCCAGGAAGCCTTCCCTCTCTATCCAGCCTGGGGTAGAATTACCAATCTTCTAATCTCCCAAAGCACTCTACACTTCTATCATAACACTTAATTTACAGTGTAAGGAATAACTTTACAAGGCTATAAACTCCTTGAAGGCAGGGAGAACCTGTCTGCATAGATCATGATTAGATCTGCAGTACCCAACACACACAGTGCCAGGCACATAATAAGCACTCACAAATATTTATTAAACGAATGGAGTTCACTGCCTAGTGAAGAAGACATTATAAATACATAATTATACAAAATAATTGTGTAGAATAAGCAAAGAAAAGAGGGTGGTTAGGAAAGACTTCATGGTGGTGTCATTTGAACTGACTTGAAAAGATGAGCAAGAACTCCCTGAGGAGTAGGCAAAGGTACAGAGGCAGGTAAGGGATGGTGTACTCTCACAGGCAACTGTAGTTAGGAGTGCCGTGTGTGGGAAAGTAGAGACAAGTAGAGAATATACCATGGATTTATTCTATAATGATTCTCAATAATTATTCTTAATTATAAATACATGCCCATTGAAAATATTTTTTAAATGGAAAAAAATCTGCCACCAAAAATGACCACTGTTATTGATATTTAGCCCAATTCCTGTATTTCAAACCTAATTTTATCTCATAAATATTTTACCACGTCATTAAAGATTTATTGACAAAACCATTCTTAACGGCTGAAGAGCATTCACTGTAAGAATGAACTATAATCTTCTTTTTTACACTAATATGCAATTGTTGGATGTTTAGATTTCTTCCCATTTGTTACTATTAAAAAACACTATGATGAATATCCTAACAGCCAAATATTAATCACATCCCTAGTTATTTTTCTATGTACATTCCTGGAAAAATGTATTGCTAAGTAAAAAGAGATTTTTTAAAATGTAAGGCTTTTGATATGTATAGCCAAATTGTCCTTAAAAGAACATTCCAATATATAGTTCTACCAGCAGTTAGGAGAGTATCCATTTCTCCAAACCCTTGCCACACAGGTATTTTTTAATTCTGCTAAATGCTAGGAAAAACTATCACCTTATTTTAAGATGAAACTTTTATTTTTAGTAAAGTTGAACTTTTTTCATATTTCTTTTGTGAATTGCCATTTGTGTTCCTTGCTGGTTTTCCTACTGCAATATTATTTTTATTATTGAGTTATAAAATCTCTTTATAGTAAGGATAATATACCTCAGTTTTTCAAATACAATATATTGAATATATTTTCCACATATATTTCTATCTTTCAATGTGGTTTATATGTTTTCTTACTGGATCAAAATTTTAATTATTATATTGCCAAATCCATTTTTTCCCTTATAGTTTTATCTTTACTGATGAGGCTTTTTTTTTATTTTTATTTATTTATTTTATTTTTTATTTTTTTTCCCCCCAAAGCCCCAGTAGATAGTTGTATGTCATAGCTGCACATCCTTCTAGTTGCTGTATGTGGGACGTGGCCTCAGCGTGGCCGGAGAAGCGGTGCGTCGGTGCATGCCTGGGATCCGAACCCGGGCCGCCAGCAGCGGAGCGCGCGCACCTAACCGCTAAGCCATGGGGCCGGCCCTGATGAGGCTTTTTAAAGTAAAAATAGTTCAATGACTTCCACACCTGACAGGAATTATATAAATGAAAAAAATACACAATGACAAAAAGCTACTGGAAAGTCAGTCAAACTTTTAAAATAAATTGATCATCATAACAGTATCTTCATACATTTGAATATTTTAGGAAAAAAATATAATTAAGATATTTTATTTAGTGTACAGAAAATACTTAATGCACACAAGGATTCAAAACCCCAGTGGCATTATATTGCTGAAGCTGACAGAGGTCCACCCTGAAGGGTTTTAAGAGAGTGACACAATTAGTTTCAGAAAGATCTCTGAGGTGGTTAGGTTCCAGAACCTTGGATTTTCATAAAAAATAAAATAAAATAAAGTAAGGAATCAGTTTTTAAATTTTTGTCAATAAGGCCACTGAAAAAATTAGCACTGTTGCATGAAAGGATATTTTAATACCAATAATGTAGAAAGAATATAATCTTGGAACAAAAGCTAATACTTTTTAATTAAATAAGTTTACCTTAATGAAAAATTCAATACTTTAACTTTAGTTTTCTCATTTTTGCCTCAAAGTATTACCTGTTAAAAATTTTGGTATTGGAGAATCATTGGTAAAGAGAGTAGATAAATTATAGAAAATTAAGAATGTAGACTAGGAGACCAGTTAAAGCATCTACAACAATTCTTATCCCAAAGTAAGCGATGCAGAGAATGCAAAGTGTTAGACAAGTCCCTGGAGATCTGCCCAATCTTCTCAAATTAAAACTCAGTCTAGCCTAATAAGTTAATAATTAAAGTATTTTTAACTCCATAGTCCCTAATAATCAGGAGACACTCCTTCACATACACTGAAATCTATGAGTTTCTGAATTATAGAACTTCTCCATATGTCCCCATCAAACCCAACATATGACTATAACAGCTCTGGATAAATTGACATCTGGATAAATGGAGGTCTTCATTATCAGAGGATAATTGGTAAAGGATAACAGCAATTGAAATAGAATTTTCTTAAAAGAGGTACCAACATTTCATCGTACAAGGGAAAGAAAGTGTTGTTGAGTCTTTATATATATATATATATATATTTTTGTGTGTGTGTGAGGAAGATCAGCCCTGAGCTAACATCCATGCCAAGCCTCCTCTTTTTGCTGAGGAAGACTGGCCCTGAGCTAACATCTATTGCCAATCTTCCTCCTTTTTTTCCATTTTTCTCCCCAAAGCCCCAGTAGATAGTTGTATGTTGTAGTTGCACATCCTGCTAGTTGCTGTATGTGGGACACCGCCTCAGCATGGCCAGACAAGTGATGCGTTGGTGCGTGCCCGGGATCCGAACCCCGGGCTGCCAGTAGCAGAGTGCACGCACCCAACCACTAAGCCACGGGGCCGGCCCCTAAAGTGTTGTTGAATCTTTATCTTAAAAAAACAAACTAAAAAATCCTGAAAATAACCCTTTTTACATTTATTTAATTATATGCAAATTCTTAGAACAAGTAAATTAAATGGGGTTTTTTCATTATCTTTCCAATGAAATTATGACAGCAGAATATAACATCCTTACTTCATATTTGAGTTTTGTACTGTAATAAAAAAGAGGGTGATTTCTGTATAACATTCAAAGTCTTTATCAATTTTCCCAAGGGCTTCTCCTTAGTCCTGTGAGATATACACATAATTCTTTGAAGTGTCTATCATGTCATCATTTTTTTTTTAATTTTTTTTTTAATTTATTTTTGTGTGAGGAAGATCAGCCCTGAGTTAACATCCAATGCCAATCCTCCTCTTTTCTGCTGAGGAAGATTGGCCGTGGGCTAACATCTGTTCCCATCTTCCTCCGCTTTATATGGGACGCTGCCACAGCATGGCTTGACAAGTGGTGCATCAGTGCACGCCCGGGATCCGAACCTGTGAACCTTTGGGGAAGTTAGTATTAATTATAAGTAATGCACACTTAAGCTCATGCCAGAGGACCCCTCAGATCCTCACTCAAAACTCTTAAGTTATATGTACTTCTAAAAAAGCTTCAAAATCTGTTTTTCTAACCAACAGATAAGAAGCAAATTCAAATTTGTAGGTGTGGGGTACTAGGGCAGGCACACTGACAGCAGCAAATGAGAGC